TTTTCAAAAAAAAATCTTTCGGGATTCTCATTTCTCATTTTCTCACACTGGATTTCCGTTTTCTTTTGAAACACATTCTTGTTCTGAAACTTTCTGACCTTTACTGTAATTCGTGTCATTGGGTTTCTCTTTCTTTACATTTCTTTGTTGTTGTTGTTGCTGTAATTCTCATTCATTGATTTTATGTCTGTATCATGCACTGCACAAGTTCTTAAGTAAAGGTATTCACTTTCCTTTCTTAAGATAGTATTTGTTCAACCACATTTATTCCTTCACATCTCATCATTCATAATACATATTTTCCTTCTTTTTATGTCTATTCTTTCCTTCTTTATCTCAACTGTATTTACTTAGCTGCATTTTCTATGAATGAAGAGCGTCATTTCATTCATGTAGTTTTCCAGCAGATGAATGAAATGAAGTTCCCATTGTTTACGTCACAACAGCTGTAGTAAGGTTGAATGACACGAATGGCGATGCATGATCTCTCTTTCTCTTTCTCTCTCTCTCCTCTCTCTCTCTCTCTCTCTCTCTCTCTCTCTCTCTCTCTCTCTCTCTCTCTCTCTCTCCTCTCCCTCTCCCTCTCCCTCTCCCTCTCCCTCTCCCTCTCCCTCTCCCTTCCCTCTCCCTCTCCCTCTCCCTCTCCCTCTCCCTCTCCCTCTCCCTCTCCCTCTCCTCTCCCTCTCCCATCACACAACCTCAGCACCCTCACACTAACGCAATGGCCATACACGAACTCACACTTAAAACCACCCTTACGATGGGATATAAAAAGGGTGATTAAGAAGGAACTAGGGAGGGGCAATATAGGGAGAAAATTGCTGTGCGTGTGTGCTAGGGGTTCACCCTCTCCCTCTATTCCCCCTCCCCCTCTTTCTATCCCTGTCCCCCTCCCCTCTCCTATCCACTCCCCTCTCCCTTCCCCCTCTCTTTCTCTTTTCAATTTTTCTTCTTTATCTATTATTTTTCCCTCTTCCCCTTTCATTCCAACGTCCCCCGGGTAATCACAGGTGACCAGCAGGTTCATCAGGTGTTCAGCAGGTGTGTGAGAGCAGCTGAGACGAGAACCAGGATCATAGTCGGTGGGTTGACACGGGGAGCGCCTGGGAAGAGAGAAACATCTATGACGACAACGATATTATAGGAGATTTAGAAGAAAAAAAAATAGGAAGTGAGATTCACATAAGATTAGGATATGAGATTTAGAGATGATTAGGAGGATGAGATTCACATAAGATTAGGATATGAGATTTAGAGATGATTATGAGATGAGATTCACATAAGATTAGGAAATGAGATTTAGAGATGATTAGGAGGATGAGATTCACATAAGATTAGGATATGAGATATGAATGATTATTCACATAAGATTAGAAAAAATAGGATGAGATTTAGAGAGAAGGGAGATTAGATAATTAGATGAGATTCACATAAGTTTAGAAGATGAGAGTTTGAAGATTAGGAAATGAGATTTAGAGAGATTTAGAGAATTTAAATGAAATTTAGAGTTTAGGAGATATGATTTCGAGAGATTAGGATGTGAGGTTTAGAGAAGATAGGGAGTGAGGACTGAGAGAAGATAGGAGATGAGACTGAGAGAATGCTATTGGAAAAATATTTAACACGAATGATTTTTTATCTATATAGTAGGCGTATGGGTTTGAATAAGTGTCGATCGCCAGAAATTAGTTGCATACGTTAAATATATATATATTATATTATATAATATATATATATATATATATATATATATATATATATTATATTATATATTATTTATATATTCATATTATATCTACCATCTTTTTATTCTCAAAAATTTCTTCTTTTATGTCTCGCCTTCCATCTCTTTCTCTTCATTTTTTATTTCTCTTGCCTCTTTTCACTTCTTATCTATTTCCTCACTTTAATTCTTCCCTTCACTTCCTCCTCTCTCTCTATCTATCTATCTATCTATCTCCACCTCTCTCTCTCTCTCTCTCTCTCTCTCTCTCTCTCTCTCTCTCTCTCTCTCTCTCTTCTCTCTCTCTCTCTCTCCTCTCTCTCTCTCTCTCTCGCTCTCTCTCTCTTTCTCTCTCTCTCTCTCTCTCTCTCTCTCTCTCTCTCTCTCTCTCTCTCTCTCTCTCTCTCTCTCTCTCTCTCTCTCTCTCTCTCCCTCTCTCTCTCTCTCTCTCTCTCTCTCTCTCTCTCTCTCTCCCTCTTTCTCTCTCTCTTCATTTTTCTCACTCTATCTCTTTCCTTACCCCCTCTCGCTCTCTCCCCCACCTCTCTCCTCTCTCATTTTTTTCTCACTCTATCTATCTCTTTCTCTTCTCCTCTTGCTCTCCCCCTCACCTCTCACCTCTCTCTCTCTCCCATACCCTCCCTCCCCCTCCCACCCTCACCTCTCTCTCTCACTCTCTCTCTCTTCTCTCTCTCTCTCTCCCATACCCTCTCCCCTCCCCCTCCCCTCCTCACCTCTCTCTCTCTCTCTCTCTCTCTCTCTCTCTCTCTTCTCTCTCTCTCTCTCTCTCTCTCTCTCTCTCTCTCTCTCTCTCTCTCTCTCTCCCCTCTCCTCCCCTCTCCCATCTTCACCTCTCTCTCACCCCTCACCCTCACCCTCACCCCCTCACCCTCACCCCTTCTCCCCTCCCCACCTCCCCTTCACCCCCTTCACCCCTCCCCACCTCCCCTTCACCCCCTTCACCCCTCCCCACCTCCCCTCACCCCCCTCACCCCTCACCCTCACCCCCTTCACCCTTCCCCACCCCCCTTCACCCCCTTCACCCCTCCCCACCTCCCCTTCACCCCCTTCACCCCTCCCACCTCCCCTTCACCCCCTTCACCCCACACTTACCAGCGTTGAAGAAGGAGAAGGTCGAGCTCTGTCGCACCACGGCAGCGAACACCGATTTCTTGACGGCGAGGTTGAGCACTTTCCCCTCACACTCGATCGAGATGCCGTTGAGGTAGTTCTTCCCCAAGGGCAAGGTCAGCTGACTGCTCGTGGTGTAGAGGGCGTAGGGGTCATCGCCGCCCCCGCCCATGGGTAGTTCTATCACTCGACCGGAATCCGGCTGCGTGGGGTGCGGAAGAGAGAGAGTGAGTGAGGGATGTTGAAAGTGGGGGAGTGTGTGAGGAGAGAGAGTGGCCGAGAGAGTGAGTCTGTCAGGGATGAAGAGAGGGGGGGAGGGTAGGAGGGAGAGAGAGTGTGAGTGAGGGATGTTGAAAGAGACGTGTGAGGAGAGAGAATGAGAGTTGAGAGTGAGAGAGGAGATGTTGAAAGAGAGAGGGGGAGGGTGTGAGGAGAGAGAGTGTGAGTGAGGGTGTTGAAAGAAGAGAGGGGAGGGAGGGGGGAGGGTGTGAGGGAGAGAGAGAGTGTGAGTGAGGGATTTGAAAAAGAGGGGGGAGGGGGGGAGGAGGTGTGAGGGAGAGAGAGAGAGTGGGGATGTTTGAAAGAGAGGGGGGGAGAGGAGGAAGGGTGGCGGAGAGAGAGTGTTAGTGAGGGATGTTGAAAGGAGGGGGAGGGGAGGGGAGGGTGTGAGGAGAGGAGAGTGTGAGTGCGGGATGTTGAAAAGGAGAGGGGGGGGGAAAGGGTTATGTGAGGAGAGAGAGTGTGAGTGAGGTATGTTGAGAGAGGGGGAGGGGAGGGGGAAGGGTGTGGGGAGAGAGAGTGTGAGTGAGGATGTTGTGAAAGAGAGGGGGGAGGGGAGGGGGGGGGTGTGAGGGAGAGAGAGTGTGAGTGAGGATGTTGAAAGAGAGGGGGAGGGAGGGGGAAGGGTGTGAGGGAGAGAGAGTGAGTGAGGGATGTTGAAAAGAGGGGAGGGGAGGGGGAAGGGGTGTGAGGGAGAGAGAGTGAGTGAGGATGTTGAAAGGAGTGGGGGGGAGGGAGGGGGGGAGGGAGGAGGGTGGGGGAGGGAGGATGGAAGGGAGGAAGGGAGCGAGGTATAAGGGTGGTAGGGAAGGCGGGATAAAGGGTGGAAAGGAGAGAGGGACAGATCGTGGAAGGGAGAGGGGATAAAGGGTGAAAGAAAGAGAGAGATAAAGGGTGAAAGGGAGAGAGGGATAAAGGTTGGAAGGTAGGGAGGGGAGAGAGAGATAAAGGGAGGTTGAAAGGAACGAAAGGATGGATGGACAGAAAGAGAAGGAGAGAGAGAGACAGAAAAAGGCAGAAAAGGCGAGAGCAAGAGCGAGAGAGAAAGATCATGTGACATTTGGACATATGTCATTATGTTGCATTTTAGGGTATTTTGGCATGGGTTGTTTTATGAAGTGTGTGAAGCTAACTTGAAGACGCTACTTATTAGATAGATAGATAAGGAAAGTGGAGGCGATGTGGGACTGTTAGCAAGAATGACAGAAACAGAAAGAGATAGAAAGACAGCGAGAGAGGAGAGAATATTAAAGAGGAAGAGAGAGAGAGACAGACACACATTCGGGCAAAGGAAGCGAGAGAGAAAGACAAACACAGACAGAAACTGGAATTAGAACTAACAAGGAATTTAGCATAACACAACAAGACAGATTAATGTACCGAATAAAGACAGAAGAGAAGTGAAGCCAACGTGTATTCTAATAAAAAAAGAAAAAAAAACATACCCCAAAATGTAAACAAAATCATTAGAAAAAGAAAATGAGAATATGAACATTTATACATATATAAATGTATGAGTGTGTGTGTGTGTGTGTGTGTGTGTTTGTGTGTTGTGTGTGTGTGTTTGTGTGTATGTGTGTGTGTGTGTGTGTGTGTGTGTGTGTGTGTGTTTGTGTGTGTGTGTGTGTGTGTGTGTGTGTGTGTATGCATATATATGTATATGTATATGTATATACATCTATGAAGGAATAAAATCAAAACTACCGAAATAAAATACAAAACCAAACGTAGTGAAAGAAAGACCCAAACAGAATGAAGATGGAGGTCAAATAAGCAAAGAAATAAAAGAAATAAAAGAAATAAAAAAAACATCAAGCAGAATGAGGAAATGAGGAATAAAGAAAGATCCTTAAAGAAAGAAGAACGAATTACAGAGCTTGGCGGGTGGGCGAGAAATGCAGATACAAGGGAGACGCGAGAAAAAAAAAAAAAAAAAAAAAAAAAAAGGAGAGAGAGAGAAGAAAAAAAAGTGCTGATTCAGAAATGACCGGGACGAAGTAAAGTGGTGGGAGGAGGGAGGGGGTGGGGAGGATAGGAGAAGGGGAAGGTCAGGGAGGAGAGGAAGGGGGAGGTCAGGGAGGAGAGGAAGGGAGGGGAGGGGGATAGGAGAAGGGGGAGGTCAGGGAGAAGAGAGGGAGGGTGTCAGGGAGGAGAGAAGGAGGGGAGTCAGAGAGAAGGAGGGGAGTCAGAGAGGAGAGGGGAGGATAGGAGAAGAGGAGGTCAGAGGAGAGGAGGGAAGGAGGAAGGAGGAGGTCAGGAGGAGAGGAGGGGAAGAAAGAAGGAGGATGTCAGGGAGACTAAGAAGGGGGGTAGAGGGGGGAGGTAATGCGAGTATGGGGACGGGAGGGAGCTTAGGGATGAGGATGGAGAGGGGTGGGGGGCGAGGTAAGAAGGGAGATTAGAGCGTGGAGACAGGAGGAAGAGAAACAGGGGGAGGAGAAAGGAAAGGACAAGAAACCTGAGGGTGAAGATGGAGAAGATGGAAGAGAAGGAGAGGGAGGAAAATCAGAGAGAGAAGGAGAGGAAGGGAACGGTACAGGAGATGAGAAAGGGAGGAATGGGCAGGTGGGAAGGGTAAGCGTGGCAGGGAGTAAAGGAAGGAAGTGAGAGAGAGAGAGAGAGAGAGAGAGAGAGAGAGAGAGAGAGAGAGAGAGAGAGAGAGATACAGAGAGAAGAGAGAGACAGAGAGAGAACAGGCAAGTTGGGGAAGATAAACGAAGTAAGGAGGGGAAGGGGGAGAACAAGAAAGGGAGGAGAGAGAGAGAGCAGACAAGTTGAGGAGGAAATACTAATTAGGGAGGGAGAGAGAAACTCCAAGTTGGGTAGGGGGAGAGAAGCAAGGGAGATGTGAGAAAAGGAGAGAGGGGTAGGGGAAAGAGTGGAGACGAGGGGAGGGAGAAAGAAGAATAAGAAGAGAGAGGGGATGTAGAGAGATGTAGAGAGAGAGAAGAAGAGAGATAGGAGGGAATGAGGAAGTAGAAGAAGGAGAGAAAGAAAAAAAAAGAGAAGGGGAGTGAAGAGAGAGAAGAGAGAGGAGAGTAGAAAAGACGACGGGGAAGAGTAGAGAAAAAAAAATAGAGACGATGGGGAGGGAGAGGAGTAAGGAAGAAGGGAGAGGAGGGTAGGGAAGGAGTGGTCTGGGAGGAGGGAGAGGAGTAGGGAAGAAGGGAGAGGAGAGTAGGAAGGGAGTGTGTCTGGGGGTAGGAAGGGGAGGAGGAGAGTGTATCTAGGGGGGTTAGGGTAGGAAGGGAGTGTATCTAGGGTGGAGGGTAGGAGGGAGTGTATCTAGGGGGTGGGGAGGGTAGGAAGGGTGTGTCAGGGGGGGGGAGAGAGGGACACTCCAGACGTGGTTAAAGTCCCCTCCCTTGAGAGCAGTAACCTCGCCGGGCTGCTTCACACTACAAGATTCTCGGTGCTTCTCGAGACTCCGGATTTTGTGTGTATCTGTGTGTATCTTAAGTGTATGTATGTGTGTGTGTGTGTGTGACTGTGTGTGTGTGTACTGTGTAAGTGTGCTGTGTGTGACTGTGTATGTGTGTGTGTGTGTGTGTATGTGTGTGTGTGTGTGTGATGTGTATGTGTGTGTGTGTGTACTGTGTGTGTGTGTGTGTGTGTGACTGTGTATGTGTGTATGTGTGTGACTGTGTTATGTGTGTGTGTGTGTGTGACTGTGTATGTGTGTGTGTGTGTGTGACTGTGTGTGTGTGTGTGTGTGTTGTGTGTGTGGTGTGTGTGTGTGTGTGTGTGTGTATGTGTGTGTGTGTGCTGTGTATATGTGTGTGTACTGTGTATGTGTGTGGTTTGTGCGTGTGTTTTAAGGTTATGTGCGTGTTTGTGTGTTTTAAGGTTACGTGTATGTTTGTGTCTGTGTGTGTGTGTGTGTGTGTGTGTGTGTGTGTGTGTGTGATATTGGCCTTACAACTCAGGAACAATTCAGTGACTTACATATACAGTACATTCCAGTGACACATCCTAGTGTACATAAACATGTTTTGAAGTACGAATAGACTAAGAAATCTCCCTAATGTAACACACGGAAAAAAATCCTTAAAAATATCACAATTTGCATTAAGTACTTTATAACTTGCTCTAAAGGAGAAAAAAAAATCGTATGCATTACATTAACATCAATTTGATCCATTAAAACCATGACTCACTTCAAGCGAATGAAGGAAAATGTACTTTATTATCTCATGCGAACCACAGTGACAGGAATAACTTGAATAACTGCAAATTATACTGAATAATCGGAAAGGAAATCCTTGCGGGCGTGGAGCATTCCGAGAAGACAAATCAGTAGCCAAGAAAATACTCAACTAACCCACTCAAATATATATGTAGTGAGACTGCACACTCAATATATATATGTAATTAGATAGCACATCAAAATATATATCCAGTGAGATAGCACACTCAAATATATATGTAATTAGATAGCACACTAAAATATATATGCAGTGAGATAGCACACTCAAATATATATGCAGTGAGATAGCAACACTCAAAATATATATGCAGTGAGATAGCACACTCAAATATATATTGCAGTGGAGATAGCACACTCAAATATATATATGCAGTGAGATAGCACACTCAATTATCTATGCAGCAGATTGCACACTCAATATACAGTGAGATAGCACACTCCAAATATATGCAGTGAGATAACACACTAAATATATCACTGAGATAGCACACTCATTATATATGCAGTGAGATTGCACACTCAAATATATATGCAGTGAGATAACACACACTAATATATATATAGGCAGTTTGCACACACTCAAATATATATGCAGTGAGATAGCACACTCAAATATATATGCAGTGAGATTGCACACTCAAATATATATGCAGTGAGATAGCACACATCAATATATATATGCAGTGAGATAGCAACACTCAAATATATATGCAGTGAGATAGCACACTCAAAATATATATCCAGTGAGATTAGCACACTCAAATAATATATGCAGTGAGATAGCACACACATCAAATATATAAGTAGCACAGTGAGATAGCACACTCAAGCAGTGAGATAGCACACTTATATATGCAGTGAGATGCCACACTCAAATATAATGCAGTGAGATGTCAAATATATAAGCACACTCAAATATATATGCAGTGAGATAGCACACTCAAATATATATGCAGTGAGATTGCACACTCAAATATCTATGCAGTGAGATAGCACACTCAAATATATATGCAAGCCACCAGCTTACAATAAGCCAACAGCAGTAAGCCACTAACTCACAAAGATACTGTCAATTCATAGAGATAATCTTTTGAATCGAGACAATAATCTGAAAATTGTCCCACTAGAATGTCTCACTGATTCTCAACAACACTTTAACAGACTCACAGAAATAGCCTATTTCTTCACACCAACAATAACACTCCAAAGACGAGCAAAAGGGGTTAACAGACGTAAAATTAGTCTACTGACTCACAGAAATAGCCTATTTCTTCACACCAACAAGTGACTCACTGAAATAGCCTACTATCTGACACCTATAACTTACTCACAGATTTAGTTTATTATTTCACACCAACAACTGACAGAGAAATAGTCTATCATTTCACATCAACAACTGACTCTCTGAAATAGCCTACTACCCCATACCAACAGGCTACTTACAAAAATTTCTTTGATTCAGCCTATTATTTCATTCCAACAATTGACTCACAAAATAGCTTACGTTCTCACACCAATAACTGACTCAAAGAAATAGTCCATCATTTCACATCAAATGACTCACTGAAATAACCTGTTACTCCATACCAACAGGCTACTTACAAAAATTGCTTTGACTCACAAGAATAATCCACCGATTCATGTAATCAACTAACACTGAAAATACTTAACTGTTTCACAAAATAGCCTTGACTTACAAAATAGTCAACCGACTTAAGAGTGACACAGACGTCACACAAACACAGCCTAATTCACAGAAAGAGCATAGTTTAATGCGTCATGGTGTGTGTGTGTGTGTGTGTGTGTGTGTGTGTGTGTGTGTGTGTGTGTGTGTGGTGTGTGTGTGTGTGTGTGTGTTTTTTGTTAGGTGTGTGTTGTTGTGTGTTTTAAGGTTACGTGTATGATTGTGTGTATGTGTCTATATTCCAGCGACACAGAAATACTCCTTTGTCTCACAGAAATGGCCCAAACTAACAGAAATATCCCACTTACACATAATTACCCCTTTACCCAAAATTAAGATACATCAGTGACAGTCTAGTAATTCACCAAACGGCCCAGTGACTCACAGAAATATCCATGTGACTCACAGAACTTACAAAAATAAACAGACAATTCACAGAAAATGCTCCAGTAACTGAGAGAAACATCCTACCGATTCACAGATTGAGCCAAGAGACTCACAGAAATAGCCTAGTCTCATAGAATCACGTAAATTGCCTATCCGTTCAAAAAAGCCCACCATCTCAAAGAAAAAATGGCTCATAAAAATTAGCCCCAACAACTTACGGAAATAGCTGAAATAGCCTCAACTCACAGAGACAACCCGCAAACTCAGAAATAGACCAACCAACTCACAATAACCGCACCAACCCAAAGTAATAGCCTTGGCTCACTGAAATAGCCCCAGTAATTCACAGAAATAGCCCAACCAACCCACAGAAACAGCCCCACCAACACACACAAATACCCCCACCGTCCCAGAGAAGTAGCCCCAACCAACCCGCAGAAACAGCCCCACCAAACCCACAATACCCACAACCACACAAATACCCCACACCCACACAAATACCCCCACCAACCCACACAAAATACCCCCCACCAACCCACACAAATACCCCACAATCCCACCAACCACACCCCACAATACAAATACCCACACCAACACCCAAATACCCCCAACCCACCAACCCACACCCCACCAAACACATCCACAATACACCCCACACCCAACAAATACCCACAAAACCCCACCCCCACCATACCACAATAACCCCACCAACCCACACAAATACCCACAATAACCCCACCAACCCACACAAATACCCACAATAACCCCACCAAAACCCCACAAATACACCCCACATAACCCGAGAAGATACCCACCAATACCACCCCCACAGAAACACAACCACCACCCCCACCAACACACAAATACCCACAAAAACCCACCCCACCAACCCCACAAACCCACATAGCCCCACAATCCCCAAACTCACATGCACTTCTCTCCCGTTGACCCGAAAGGAGATGACGGCAGCAGGGCGAGAGTCTCTCACTGTGCAGTTGATCCGTAGTTTGTCTCCTTCGGTATACTTAATCTGCAGCCCCGTTATTTGGGGGTTCTGTGGCATGTCTGTGAACGAAGAGAAAAGGGCACTTAATTGGGGATTGCATTAAAAAGAGAAAAAAGAAAAAGAGGATGATGAAATAATGAAAAAATAGTGATGATGAAAAAAAAAGATGAAATGTGATGATGATGGATGAATGGATAGATTGAAGATAAAGTTTAGGGGGATTGTATGAAAAGAAAAAAAGAATAATGATGATAGTAATTTGATATATGAAATAAAGTTTAGGGATTGTTTAAAAAGAATAATAATTGATAAATAAATAAATTGATAAAGATAGCTTATTGAAAAGAAAAGGATAATGGATAAATAAAGATCAATTTTTTGTGCATATACACACACACACGCACATACACACACGCGCGCGGCGCACGACACACACACACACACCGAACAGGAACAGAAGGGAAGGGCAAGAAAAAACACACGAATAGGGCATATTTTGTGTTTTCTTGCCCTTCCCTTCGTTGTTCCTGGTTGCAATCTGTTCATCATGAATTCCACACACCGATGTCAACACACAGAGCCACACACACACCACACACCACAAGACACAGCACTACACCCCACACACACACCACACCACCACACACACACAACACACACAACACACACACACAACACACACACACACACACACACAACCACAGCACACACAGCACCACACACACCACACACACACACACAACACACACACACACACATATATATATATATATATATATATATATATATATATATATATATTATATATATATATATATATATATATATATATATATATATATATATATATATATATATATATATATATATAGATATATATATATATTACATATATATTGCACGTACTGTTGCTGTGTTGCTCTCGGCATTGCAAGTCACTTACGCACTACGGTGAGGTTGGCCGACCCGAACGAGGTCTCGAAGGTCGGCGCCTCGGACATGACCTCGCATCGGTAAGTTCCCTCCGAAGACAGGTCAATCTTCCTCAGGGTCACCACGTTCTCGTCCGAGGTCGACAGCTGAGGGTCACCGTCCGCCGGCGAGAGGAGGTCGAAGGGAAGAGCAGAAAGGGTGAAGATAATAACTTGGGTTAGATATAAACTGTGATAAAGGAATGATTATTTTGATAATCTGTGAAAAGATAACCTCTATAACGAGATTAAAGGTAGATTGTTTAGATAAGATATCGATGAATTTGATAAGGTATCGATGAATTAGATATGATATCTATGAATTAGATAAGATAAAGATGGATTAGATAAGATAAAGATGGATTAGATAAGATAAAGATGAATTAGATAAGATACCGATGAAATAGATAAGATATTGCTGAATTAGATAAGGTATCGAAGAATTTGATGATATCGATGAATTAGATAAAATATCGATGAATTAGATAAAATATTTAGATAAAATATCGACGAATTAGATAATAAAATATCGCTGAATTAGATAAGTTATCGATAAATCGGAAAACTTGGAGAGAGAGAGAACAGAGACAATTTAGATAACCGAATCAAATACTTAGAGCAAGTGATAACGATGATCCATTTGCATATTAGGGGAGATAACGACTCCTCTGCACTTGAATAACTAAGAGGTAAAGTTAGAGAGAGGGAATAACAACAATTAATTCGCACTTAAAGCTTCGACTGTGTTTAAAGTTGGATGGAGCGGAAAGAGGGATAGCAAGGGAGACGATAACGATGGATAGAGCAAGAGGGGAGGGGAGAGGGTTTGGTTTGGGGCAAGGAATCCACTCGTTGGGTTGGAATGAGGGGAAGGGAGGATGGGAAAAGAGGTGAGGGGGGAGGGGGGGGATGAGGGAGAGGAAGGGAGGATGTAAAAAGAGGAGGGAGGAAGGAGAGGGACATGGGGGGGAAGGGAGGATGGAAAAAGAGGGGAGGGAAGTGTGAGGTGAGGGAGGGGGAGGGACAAGAGGGAGAGGAAGGGAGGATGGGAAAAGAAGTGAGGGAAGTGTAAGGTAAGGGAAGAAGGGGGGGGATGGTGGGGAAGAACCATT